GCTGGGAGTTAGGGATTGGTATTTGAAAGATTTTCTACAGCCAGCACCGATAGAGAGTTGGAGGTTTAATACCATATAAGTAGTGGTTTTTAGCTCCACTCTGTCTTTTTTTGGGTGGTGGGGTGGGAATGGAGTAGGAACAATGTGCGACTAACAGTTCTAACGGTATATTTTACCAACTCTTATTAACAAAAGTAAAAACACTATCTATTAAGTGTTTCTGAATGTGATCTTTTTGCCATCATACCCAGCTGATAGTCAACATTCTGGTAAAAGGCAATTACATACTTGAATCTACTTTTGTAGTCCAGCTAGTTTGTTTTATAGCTAATACTCTGAAATGAGTAGAGGAGGCATATTGTAATTCATTCATTCATTCCTTTTTTTTTTTAATCCTTTTAGTGCCGTAATTACAACAATTAACCATGATGAAGTTTGGTTTAAGAGGCCTGATGGAAGCAAATCTAAGCTTTACATTTCACAGCTACAGAAAGGAAAATATTCAATTAAACATTCGTAATCATGATTTAAGTGTTATCTAAATCTACCTTATTAGTGTTACCAAGTGTGATGTGCCATGGGAGTAAAAAATATATTCAATAACTTAATATTCTCATTGAATCATGAGAGACTGTATTTGTAGACCTCACATTGACATGTTATTCAAAGAGACAGTAAAAAAATGTAATCATGATCATTACATTCATTTGCCTTTTAGGTCTAATGACCAATAGGTGTATGTGGTAGGGGTTTCTTACTAAACTTTTTTCTTGGTTTTTATGCACATCTATGTTTAGTGAACTAAGTTGCTAAATGGCTACTTTTATCTGCAATTTTTTTAATTTTTCCACTTCTTTGTTACTCATCATGTGTTTGTAAATAAGCCTCATAAAATGTTTCCTATAAATAGTTTGTACCAGTACANCTTCAAAAATTAATACAGCTTTATAGTTCACAAGGGCTTTGATGTGAAACAGCTGTTTAGTGTATAGCATGATTGCTTAATTCTTGTGTACTTTTTAACATTTTTAATGTTTCTAATATTGGAGTGTCTTTAAATTAATATGTGCATTCAATCTTGGCATTCCCTATGGTACTCTCTCATCACCCCCTGCTTTCCACCCCCACCTCAAAACAGTAATTAGGTTGGTTGTGTATCTTACAATGATATCATAGTATTAAGAAAATATGGTTACTAGCATCTGAAATACTGGAATATATCCTGGTAATAAGGTTTTTAAAGAATAATTTGAAGTCAGAAATCATCATGCCAAGGGATTATATCCAGAAATCATTGTTCTAGTCTCTGAAAAACAGAACTTTGAAAGAATAATTCAAAGTGTGAAATTCATACAGCTGAATTGACCTTGACTTTTCAACGTCCATATATAGTTTATATGCTACAGGATCTTGATATTCTTGAAGACTGGACAACAATTAGGAAGGTATGATTAAAAAGCAATGGAATACAAGAATATTTTTATAGTCCACTTTTAATATTCTGTGATTTTTTTCACTAATAACATCAAAATATGATTCTTATAAATATGCCTTATTTTGCAACAGTCTTTCTAAGACAATACTAATACAGATAACAGTGGATTGCAGGAGTATTTTAAGAGAGACATGTCAGCAGTTTGACTGAATTTTTTCTTGCAATAATGTAATAATTTATGCAAAAGTCCAGAAAAACTTTTATTTAGGTTCCCCCCAAATAATAAATAACCATTCTATGCCTAGTCCTTAGCCTGGTCCTGGCTCACAGAAGGCATTCAATAAATATTGGTTGAATGAATGAAAAGTGAAAATTTGAATCCTTATTATATGTCTTATGTTCTGTCATTAAAGATTTGAGAATTGTAGGATTTTTCTGTACTTGTTTGAAAGGGGAGACTTTTGTTTTCATTAATAATTTTTTCATTTTTAGAAACTTTAGTTGAGAATTAGAGATTATTTCAGGTATTTGCTAACACCTCCCGGAGAAATTATTATTCTTTATATGTATATTCCTTATGGTCTTAGATATCAACAACTTATTAGGACAGCTGAAGATTTTATATTTTACTGTGTTTGTTACTGAGCTTATCAGTAGCCACTGTATATATATTAAAGATGCCAAAATATACTTTGTCTATGAACTCAGACAATGTCTTTCTTCCTCTTTTTTCATTTTTTATTTTTTTTGAATTAAGGCGATGGCTACACTGGGTCCACACAGAGTAAAAACAGAACGTAAGTCATTTAGTCTGAGTTCAGAAATCTTCTTTATGCAGACTTGTTGAATCAGAGTTGTTAAGTCGTCTACATACTAAGAGCTCCCCATCAGTGGTTTCATTTTATCAGTTAAACTATACTTGGAATTATGAGGAATTCTAGAGTCTTTGCCTCATGTTTCAAGATCTCTGAATGAAACATATTTCTTCTTTTAGTGTTTCAGTGGCATTGCTATTGCTAATAATGGATCAGTAATTTAAAAAGTATTTATTTAGTATTTTTATGGGTCCAGTAATTCTATAGGGAGAGTGTATGGAGTCTGTGGANTAGAGGGCACAGCGTCACTGGTCCTCATGTGGGATCCGAACCGGGGCCCTGCTGCTCAGAGCTGGCGTCCCAAGCCAACTCTTAACCAATGCGCCACTTGGCCGGCCCTTTAATATGAATTTTTATGTGACTAAGTGTATTAGTCTTTTCCTTTATGGCTTTTCCTAATTTTTGAATGCTTCTTTTATCCCATCTTTTGTTTAGTTCTTTTAGGTTTCATTTGTGAATTTAACTATTTAGTCCATTTATTTTTATGTATAATGTGAGGCAAAGAATCCTGAGCCTTTTCTCTGTGTAGTTAAACTTATTTTTTTGTTGTTATTTATTACCATCAGATTTCCAGGTGATTTGAAAAGTCACCTTTATCATACACTAAAATTTCCCATAACCAGGGTCTGTTTCTGAGCTTTTAAATTCTGTTCTGCTTATCTTTTTATCCCAGTGCAGCACATGTTTAGAAAATGATGAGGAGCCTTATAATATGTTTCTCTCTTTGGTAATGCGAGTTCTTCAAAATCTCCCAGCACTCCAGTCTTGAAGGAAGTTCAGGAGTATGAGGTGCCTAAGTCAGGGAAATGCCAAAGAGGACTTGGTTCTGAACACAGGTCAGGGTGAGAACAGCACAGAAACAGAACCATGGAGCCACTTGCCTGGGTTCCTTGAAGCTGGCCTGCTGAGAAACAGCAGAGTTTTCAGCCTGGGACAGGGCTCAGTGGGCAGGTTCACTCCGTCTAGGCATGGAGATTGGAGGCATGTGGGGTCTACTGGAACTAGTAGACCTGGGTTCTAGTCTGATTTGTCAGTAAACAGCCTTGTCTCTTTTAGCAAGTCATTTAGTCTTCCTATAGTTTTGTTGAGAGATTTGGATATAATTAGTCTGTAATTTTATGATTTTGACTATAATTGAATTAATTCTAAATGATTATAAAATTTGTACTTGAATCTTTCTCTTTGTGATATATTAGTTTATTTTAATATGATGTTGAGATAGTAGCGAGGAACAAAGGCCCAGTTATTGTTCCAGTGAGAAAGTGGGATTTATTTTATAATGACATACTTTATTGGACGGGTTTTCATTATGGTGACAGGTGGCACCTGCATTTATTTAAAAGGGGCCATGGGAGCTTATTATGAGTTTTTTATGAAGTAAATACTTACCTCTTTATCACATATAAACTTAGATGTTCTTAAATAATTTAAATATAGATTTACAGCTAAATCTATATTTAGAGTCTGTATTTTGTAGTTTTATTTCTTTCATATACTGTATGACCTTTCATCTTTAAAAAAGTGAATGAAACCACCACCATACATTAAAGAGTAAGTTATTTAGTACTCTGGATTTTTTCTTCCTACTTACGTGTAATCTATTTTTTTTTTTTTTAGAGTGAAAAGCTTTTGTTATATGATACCGTCCAGAGTGAACTGGAGGAAAAGATAAGAAGGCTTGAGGAGGACAGGCACAGCATCGATATTACCTCAGGTAATGGGAATGATGTGATT